ATGGCAATGATGGATGTTTGATATTGAGTATGGTGAAATGTCAAGGCAATGAAAAAGGGTAAAAATAGTAAATAAAGATAAAATGAAAAGAAAATAATCCTCACGTGACAAGCTTCCAAGAGAATGAATGGTAGGGATTGATCTACGGATGCTAAACTTATTTCTCAAGTATATTTAAGCTAACTGGTCTTTACTTACTCGACAGGGCTTTCCTAAAGTGTTCTAAATAACCTAACAGAATAGGATGCCAAGGCATCTGCTCTCACTCAACGATGTTGGCCAGCCTACCCTATTGATAAAGACACCTTTTTTAGTCGTTGAAATCCTATCCTAGCCTCTTCCGAGATCTAAGGGATTAAGTTATAATATTCCTAGGCCGGTTCAAAGCCCCTTGAAAATACTATAACCCATTGCTTATGAGGATCTTATCTTGTGTTTCTTCCGAATACTTACAAGTATTTTTAGTCTAGGATTCTTCCGAATACCTAACCTTCATCTAAGAAATGGACATTTCCATGCCTCTTACAAGCTTAGATGGTGAAGCATTCATAAGCAAAGCAAATAAAGAACCAAAATAAACTTAAATATACCATTAAAAATAAAGTTCAAACAACTATTAAATCAACCACCACCAAATAAGTTAGTTCATGGTGGGGTTCAAAATATCCAAACACAAAGTCATGAAAATATTTGTTCCAACAACCCACAAATAAATATAAAATAGCAGCAAAAATGGAAGTTGAGAAGAAGCCTTTGACGCACCACCGGAGGTCTCCTCTCGGCCACCGTGAACCACCTAGCTTGCTAGCTCCTTTAGGCTCCTAGCTCGCCACTCCTTGGAGGTTTATCAATGGAGGAATATCCCAAGGAAGAAGAAAGGAAAAGAGAAAATAAAAATGTGATTTTTGCTACCGTATGTGTCCTCCTTTTTTCTCCCTCATGAGGTGTCATATATAATAAAAAATATCTAGGGGTAATGATGAGGTTGTTGGGTGCAAAATACCCCTCATACCCCTAGAATCACATGTTGGGTGTGAACCTTATCCTCCAAGTGGCAGTGGTTCTTTGGCAGCTCTGGCAGGCGGTTACAGCAGTCCTTCACGTGCAGAGACATCTGTCCAGTGCCAGTTGTCCTTATGCAGAAATATTTTTTTGTCTTTTTTCTGCGCCGGAAATGCCAAGGCATTTCAATCTGCTTTAGCAACGTGTGATGCCGCGGCATTACTTCCCAAAGAATCTTTTTTTCTTGCTATTCCCTGCACACCACAAACAAACTGCACCTTTCCCTCAAACAACACCATTAAGAAATAAAATAGCACAACCACCACAAATGCACTATATGCAACTACATGATCCTAAAATGCCTAAAATGAGCTTTTAAACAAATAATAATTTAAGTGAAAAATGCCTTAAAAGTAGCCTTTTTAGGAAGTTAACAAAAGCCAAGTAGCATATTCCTTGTTTGAATTGGACTTAAATATTAGATTTTCAACTAAAGTAAAGAGTTTTACTTGTAGTTAGACTAGGATTAGTCATGAGATGTAAGGGGACTTCATTATAAAAGGAGGTTTCCCCACCCCCATTGGATATAGAGAGTTTTGTGTGAATAAACTCGGGCATTCGTGCCAAAACTTTCCCCTCGTACACTTACATACGTTTTATTATGATTTTTCATCGTGCTTATTGCTATAACAACATTAACCTAAGAGTTTAAGCTGACTTAGACATTGAGCAGCCGAACAAGGCATCTAAGAGCCGCACAGACCAGTTAACCGACTGTCTAGCCTCGTGTCATTATGCATATATACATCACTAAAATTATCGCTAAGTTCCGAGCATAACTAAACCCACTTTTATAATATTATAATATTTTTTATTTACTTTATTTAATTTTTCATTGAAAAATATTTTACTTTTTATTTTATTAAATTTTAAGTTTTTATTTAATGTTATAAGAGTTTTTATTTATTTTAAATTTTTTATTTCATTCTACATATAATATAATGATTTTATTTTTATTCTTTAACTTATATTTAATTTTAATTTATAAATTTCATAAATAATAATTTAAATAATTATTTAATAATTTAACGGAAAAAATAAAATTTTATATATTTAACATTTAATTCACCCCGTAAAATCTAATTTTAAAAAAAATTCTGAGATATCATACAACTAAATCCTAAACAAATTCTATTTTTCAACGTACTCAATATATAAAAACCATCACTCTAAAGCTAAACATCCTAAAACTTACATCCTCGCTTAAAAAAATCCTAAACCCTAAATTCAATTTTATAAAAATTAATTATATATTTATTCAATATTAAATTTTAATTTTTTACTTAGTAGTATAATTTAGAGGTGAACGCTCGATCGAGTCAAGTCCAGTCGAGTTAAAAAATTTTGAGTTATTCGAGTTTACAGGTCTTATTTTATAACTCAAAGTTGACTTGAAAAAAATCCCGAATTAAGTCGAATTTTTGAGTATCTGTTTAAATTTAATTATAATTATTTATAATATTATGATTTTATTATATTCAAATTTAAATGATTTTTTATAACCATATACAATATATATATATATATATATATATATATATATATATTCGTATTTTTTCATATGTGATATATATATATCATACAGAGTCGAGGGACTTGACTCAAACTTAAAAATCAATCCACTAATTACTAAATATTTCGAGTTATTTGAGTTGTATTTATAACTCAATTTGAACTTGAAATTTTTTCGAGTAAAGTCGAGTTTATGAAATTAAAAATAGAAGTCAATTTGAGACAAGTTTTTTCGAGTTGAGTTGAGTCGAAAAAATCAATTTTTCGAGCCGAGTTGTGTTTTTCTAACTCATAATATAATTATCTAAATTTACTATATTATTTTAGTTTTTGATTTCACATTAAATATCATATAATATTTTATATTACATAACATTAAATATTTTATATATAACTGCACTAAGTTATAAAATACAACAACAACAACAAAACCCAATTCCCATATGTATGGGGTAAGGGGGAGGTAGGGTAGTAGGATGCCCCCAACACCAGGTTGAGAGTAGCTTCCGTGGAAGACCTCCGGCAGTCAGAAAATTAAAAATATAGATAAAATTCAATGCATATATAAATAAATACATAAATACATAGCTAAACAGTATTCATATGCAGTCATTAAAATCATATGTGCGTCTGTAACGGGAATTAATCCCTGCATAATAATCCCTGCGAAAGAATCTCTGCATATAGGCAGAAACATAAGACCCGGCTAAATTTAAAAGAGGAAACATGAGGAGAATGATACACAGAAGTCAACGATAGCAAGCCCAGTTCTAATCCTTCATAAATACCAATAACAGAAACGTATAAAAAGTAGAAGTCATGGAAAATACTATAAAGACATTAAAAGAAGACAGAGATGATACACCCTATAGATGTGACCCACACTACTCGACTACCCAAGTCTTTAGCCTCCATATTTTCCTATCAGAGATTATGTCTTCGGTAAGGGCTAAATCCCTCAAATCAGATCTCAAGCAGTCTTCCCACTTCCGCCTTGGTCGTCCTTTCCTTCTGGCACCGTCGACTGTAATCGACTCTACCCTCCTGACCGCATCCGACGGTAGTCGCCTAAGGACATGCCCAAACCACCGTAGTCTTCACTAAGTTATAAAATGTGAACTAAAAATAAAGATGAATTTCTGACTAAATAACATTTTAAGAACTAAATGTCACAAAAATAAAATTTTACGCACTTAAAATAAAATTTACACAATTTCTTTTATATTCCATCAATACAAACACCCTAAACTCTAATTTTGAAAACTCTAATTTCATTTTTTTACTAACCTTAAATTGATATACAGTTCAATTCTAATTTTGAGAATACTTTTAGAGGAAAACGCTCCTAACACTCGTCTATTACCATTTTAGTCATGTAGGATAAATACGTAATTTAAGAAAGTCTTCGGTAAAGATACTCCTAACTTTAGTTTACGTGATTAAATTGGGTGTTATTTTTTAAAAATAAATTTAATTAGGTTATTCTTTTCATTTTTTAAAAAAAAAAAAAATTTATTCCCGTAAAATTTCACTTGTCCCAGTTCACAATTTATCTTCTATTAGTCTTATAAAAAAATCAACCATCTTAATCATTTAACTCGAGTTGACCCAAGACAAAAATTATCCAAACAAAGAACATAACATGACACCTACTCATGAGAATCATATTTGGAAACCCAAAATTCAACGAAACCATATTCAAACTAAAATTATCAAAAAAAATTTTGATAAATTTTAAATCTAATTCTTATCGTACCTAGAAGGGAGGGGAAGGAGAAACTCTAAAAAAAAGAAAGGTGCTCGATGTGAGTCTACAACTCACAACTTTAAGAGAATATAAGAGAACAAAAATAAACAATTTGACCAACTGATCAAATATACTTATTCAATTACCAAAAGTTATAAATCTTAAATTAATCCAAGACAGGTATTGTTTCATCGTAATCATGAACTATATATTGTTTCAAAATTCGTGATTATCCTCAGTCATTAGTTGTAATGTACCGCTTTGGTAACTACAAATTCTTGCTTGTTCTATAGCACCGGTAAACTTAAATTTCCAATTTGTTTTCACCCATTTTAACCTTAAATCTTAACACGGACCAAACGATTTCAGTGATTAAGAGTCTTTTATTATCCTTGTGGTTCCAAATTCGAACACCAAGTATGCATTATAAACATTCATTATCAAAAGGTTAATAGTAAAAGATACTATCTTGTATTCACCCATATATATATATATATATATATATATATATATATAACGTTAAATCTTAGCAAAAGAGATCATTGGCAGCATTTAATTTCTTCCTAAAAGTAATAAATGAAATGGAGGGTTTACCTAAAAGGAAATTACGGACACTACCGATAAGAATTCTGATAAAGAAATTGAAAATTAACAATTGAAATTTACCGTAATTCGTTTAAAAACATATGAAGAGGACTACACCGATCATCCAAAAGCATTACTTCAGAAATAGAAGATACGCAAAAGGGAGAACTATTGCCCAAAAGGGTGCGTTAATCCAAGTATTGTATCATGGCTTGTGGATCTTAAACCCAAATACTCTTGGAACATAGCTCTGAGATGCTTTTTGTGGCTTCAGGTGCTGGTATGTCATCAAAAACAGGTTTGGAAATGTTGTCCCGAAGTAGGCTCCGTCAGTGTCTAGACAGAATTAAGGTAACTTATTTCATTTAAATGATAATAATAATAACGACGACGATGAAATCTTATTCGCTGGCCATAAAACAAGTTGGTCCTCGGAAGTTCGCAATATGCTGAGAGATGAAACTTAAGACCCTAATGCAGGTATTTCGATAGATGGATATCATAACATGCATGTTATCTTCCCCTACAAAATGCATGCAACAAGAAGTAGCAAATAAGTTCAATGACCAAAAGGATACTGCCTTGGTACTTGGAGCGAGGGTAGTAGATATCTTCACATCTAGGGCAGTATACTTTTACGGTGCTTGACCGAGGAATGTCTGATTGACCAACTGGAAGACAAGGTTGTCCACAGCAGTAAACTCTAGGGCATCTTCCAAAATCATAGTTCCTGTACTTGTCTAGCTGTAAAGATTCATATATATATATATATATATATATATATATATATATATATACATGGTGTTGTAATCAGTTGTCAGTTGACAAGCATATGAAAAAAACAACCTATGATATTGAATATCACGGCACACATCTCACCATAGCAGCAATTCCTTTGCTTGTCAATATGTACCGGGAATGAATCAGACCATAAAGCATCTCTGCCGCAGACTCAACTAACTCATTTTGCTCCTCCGTAAACATATCTCCTATCAAATGTCAGCCAAAAACAAATTACTCATTGGAAGAAACTGAAGGGGGGATTGTCATGTTACTAGATGGCAAATAATACAGAAAGAAATTTCAAAATTTCATCATCATCAACATTTAAAAGCAATTATTATAATAAAACCATAAGAAAATGTCATAGAAAGATATCAACAAGAACAAAAAGGAAACAGACTTCCAAACATCCTAACAACTTGACATTAGAAGAACAGATTGTAAGCTTACCGTGAGAAGATTCAACATCCAAAATCAAATCAAGTGCATAATCATAATAAGGAACTTGGCCGCTTAGCCCACAAAGGTTAAAATCATCTTGTATGTAGTCATCATCAACTTCGCAAAAGAATTCATTTCCACGTAGGTTGCAAAACCAAGAGATCCAAGACGTGTCATCCCCATCAGAACCACTAACATTCGACTCTTCACTGTCAGTTTCAGATTCATCTACAGTAAATGCAATCCAAAATTGTATCAGCGCGAAGCATCACCACCAAACACAAAAAGGTAACAACCCTCACTTTGAAAACATGGTTTCATATATAGGTAATAAAAAAAATTTTGAAATATGAAAAAATACATGGAATGTTCATAAAACATATAAGGAATTGAATTCATTTGATACTGAAAATTGAGGGAAACATAGAAATGCTTAGGCAAACTGAGTTCCAATACGATACTTCCTTTGAGATATAAACGCAGATATTGAGCAACACTTATTTATGATGATATTCAAGGGGGGTTTTTCATCATTGGAAACAATTATCCTTACAAACAGTAATGTCCAATCCTAGACAAAATCAATTATAGATGAACCCATCACCAACCAATATCTCGTATTTTATAATATGAACAACATAAATAAAAAGCCAATAATTTTACAAATAAAAACCCTAACTTTTTTATCGAAAGAGGAAGATGTGGTTATGTTTATACCACCCGAGGTTTTTGCTTTAGGTAGAGACGCAGAGCGAGAATCACGATAGTGGTCAGGTTGATGCTTCTCCATTTGGGACGACTGTGATGACTTATCCTTGCTGCTGATCCCTCTCGAAGTGGACGGCGACAATCGTTCCAGTTGCTTATCAAGCGCCTCGTTGATCCGCTTCCGATCCACCGACCCCACCTCTCCCTTGGACCCACCGGCTGCTCTCTCTCCTCTATACATCTGTTTTCCGTTACCGCCGATTCATAGGTGGAATAACGCAAATGAACCTAAGGTTCCCCAAATCTAGGGTTTTCTCTTGTTCCTTTTGGTTTCTGTAAGCGATAAAGCTAACCCATTTTTATTTAATTATTTATTTATTGTTCCCCGGATTCTTTTGGGTTTTCACTTTATCTTGCTAGATTGTGTAGAGGAATAAAAAGAGGAGAGAGAAAGGAGGGGAAACTTTAGAAAGAGAGAAAAGGGTTAAAATCGGAAGAGAGTTCTTAAATTTCCAGCGATAAGGCCGATAATCGGAGGGAGGATAACTTTGGTTTGCATTTAAAGGGCGGGGGCACTAATTGCGTATGATTCCTCCTTCATTCTCAGTGTTTCTAATCTACACGTGTCGCTTGATAACTTCCTCCCATGTTGAACACATTTCTTGGGAAAATGGTTCATTCCTCCTCTATGCTCCTAAACTATTATGCCTCAACATTAAATCAGTCTCATAAGTTTAAATCGTTCTAATTTCATTTTCGAAGTATTAGTATACCATATTTGTTGATGCACAGGTTTGATTTTAAGATTTTGGCGGCTCTCGAACGAACTATAAAATTATGTCTCTAATCAGGGATTTAAATTATAGTTTGTATTTATGTATTCGATCACATTGTGTTTATCACTATTACAGACATAACTAGTGATATTGTGATCACTACAAGTATCGTGATTGTGAATTTTTTAATAACATATGTTATTGTGGACATAATAGTTGTGGATATTATTGTTTTAGACTATATCATTACCACTACATAACAATTATTATTTTGGTTATAAACCATTATTTAAGTAATTGTTCCTAATAACAAGTATTAAAAAATATATAAATTTTAAGGGTAGCTCATAATAACAAGTATTAGAAAAAATGAGTCTCTAATAACAAATATTAAAGAAAAAGTAAATTTTAAGAGTATGTTTATAATAACAAATATTAAAAAAATAGATCTCTAATAAAAAGTATTAAAAAATTGGACTCCTAATAACAAATAAATATTAGAAAGGAAATTGAATTTTAAAAGTATGCTCCTAATAACAAATTTTGAAAAAATTATGCCTATGATAATAAGTATTAAAGAAAATTGGACCCTTAATAACAAATGTTAGAAAAAATATTGGCAAAAAATTAGACACTTATACAAATATTAGGAAAAAATAAATTATAAGAGCAAGTCCCTAATAATAAATATTAGAAAACAATTGTACCTGTAATAATAAATATTAGAGAAAAATTAAACATTTAATAACTAGTATTAAAAATAATTGGGAATTATACCTTCAATAAATATTTGTATAATAAATTATACAAATAAATATTGACAGATGCCCCTCCCGCCCAGACCTAGATACGACCTTGTTGATGCAATATTTGTGAGAATGGTGATTGTATTGAATAGTTATGGTACATCTCTTTTAATTTGAACAAAAAATTATTGGAAGGATGATCAGAGATTATAAGGGTTAAAAAGAATATAAAAATCAAATAATATAGAAGGAGAGAGAGAAATAAACCCCACGATATTTCCCTTGTAAGGAGAGACTCCTTATACCATGACTATTGCCACACTCATTATTATGTGACAACCTTGGATAGGAAGATCAAACGTGACAATCATTATAGGTGATCTAGAATTATCATAGGATATGTATGACAACGTCATTGGATCGTTTAGATGTATTAATCATTCTCTCATCCATTGGCTATCAAGTTGGAAGATGTCTAAGTTTTATAGTGTTAAACCTTGCAGCAAGGGAACAATGTTTCCAAAAGGATAGGTGAACGAAATAGTATTCAAATGCAATGCCGAGTTTGAAAATATATATGCATATTTTTGAAGTGTATGGTGCAAAGAATTCTACGCACGATTTTATGGTCTCGTTAAAAACCTTTATAACCCTAGAAGGAGGAAAAGAGTACATTCTGTCAGGTAAAACATAAAAGTTGAACCAACAAAGAACTACAACAAAAATATATCACCCAACTAAGCTGACCACTCCCTGTGAACTAAACTCTTCGAAAGCCTCCACCAAAATTCAAAGAAATACCCAAACCAAACAATATCTTATCGGCCCAACAATTAAATGAAAACAAAATAGTGGCTAGAAGTAACCTGGAATAGAACACCAAATAACAAATTATTTCCACCAGGCTTAGAAAGAATAGCTTTCTCCAACACTCCCTAAGAATGAGCCTTATAATTCATCAATCGTAGCAGCAAGACAGATATGCTTACCACTGACAACCAATTCTCCCATCGTCCAAAGCTAACTCTTATCATTAACCATAACGTACTCGAAAACAGCACCCATAAGAGGGCTAAACTAGGTAAACCTAGGATCCTTTGGAAGAACTTACATGGAGCGACAGCTGATGACTTTAGGAGTAAGGTTCTGTCTCTTACAGGTTTTTGACCTACAAACTCGAATAATGCCGACATGTTATGGAAAAATATGGCAATTTCCATCAGAGAGGTGGGCAAAAACACCCTTGGGTTGGCGACAAGGAAGGTCAAGGAACATAAAGAATCGTGGTGGTGAGCTAAGGTGAAGACAAAGCAAACTTGCTTCAAGGAGTTTCTACAATGCAATGACGACGAAGAAAGATTGAGAGCTAAACAAAGATACAAGGGGGCAAAGCGGGAAGCCAAGAAAACAGTGGCTAAAGCAAAGGATAAGGCATACGAGGAAATGTACAAGAGATTAGACACCAAGGAAGGACAAAACGGCATCTTCAAGCTTGCAAAATCCAAGGAGAATAGGAAAAAGGATATAGGTAGCATTAGGTATATTAAGACAACAATGATGTTCTTTTAGTGAAAGATTATGATATTAAGAGGGTTTGGGGTAGTTACTTCTCTGGCTTATTTAATGATGGTGCCTCTCCCTGTACTAGTAGAACTGTTGATGGGTCTGCCGACCATCATACTACGGCCAATGACTGCCCTACAAGTAGAATTGGGAGTGAGGAAGTCAAAATGGCTCTTAGAAAGATGGGGAGGGACAAAGCTGTCGGTCTAGATCAAATTCCTATCACTGTGTGGTTGGCCCTAGGAGAAGAGGGAGTTAAGTGGTTGACCAACAACTTTAATATTATTTTAGAGACTGCCAAGATGCCAGAGGAGTGGAGAGAGTCTACGGTGATACCAATATAAGAATAAAGGAGATCCCCAACGTTGTGGTAACTACAGAGGTATTAAACTACTCAGTCATATCATGAAGCTATAGGAAATGGTGATAGAGGCTAGGTTGAGACAAGTTACTAGGGTTTCAGAAAACCAATTTGGTTTTATGCCAGACAGGTCTACTACGGAGGCGATTCATCTACTTCGACGGCTTATGGAGAAATATAGAGAAAAAAAAGATCTTCACATGGCGTTCATTGACCTTGAGAAGGCGTATGATAGCGTTCCCCGTGATACGATATGGAAGACCTTAGAAACGAGACGGATACCATCTACTTATATCTGGGTGATTCGTGATATGTACTATAGATCTACTACATTCGTCAGACTACAGTTGGCGACACCGAGGCATTCCCGGTGGAAATCGGACTCCACCAGGGGTCGACTCTTAGCCCTTACATCTTCGCCTTGATTATGGACGACATTTATTGTGCGACACCAGACGGTGTCCCATGGTGTATGCTTTTCGCTGACGACATTGTCCTAGTTGCTGAAACAAAAACTGAGCTGAATAGTAGATTGGCTACCTGAAGACTGCTTTGGAAGAAAAAGGTCTAAGGATCAATATTGAAAAGACAGAGTATATATGTTCAAACTTCAGTGGGAACCAAACCGATGAAGATGTAGAAGTATGCATCGAAGGACACGTTCTATCCTCAAAGGATTGTTTCAAGTACCTAGGGTCTATGATACATAAAGATTGGAGTGTAGATAATGACGTTACACATCGTATAAAGGCGGGATGGCTAAAGTGGATGGTTTCTACTGGATTTTTGTGTGACAAGAAGGTGCCTCTAAAACTTAAGGGAAAATTTTATAGAATGGCAATTAGATCAGCGCTACTGTATGGATCAGAATGTTGGGCAATCAAGAAGGATCACATAAGGAGGATGGAGGCCGCAAAATGAGAATGCTTCGATGGGCATGTGGTAGGACTCTGTGGGACATGACACCAAACTCTGCAATTAGGATGTCCTTGGGGGTGGTGACTGTATCCGAAAAATTGAGGGAGGGAAGACTACGGTGGTTTGGGCATGTCCTTAGGCGACAACCGTAGGATGCGGTCAGGAGGGTAGAGTCGATTACAGTCGAGGGTGCCAGAAGGAGAGGACGACCAATGAAGAAGTGGTTAGAGTGCTTGAGATCATATTTGAAGGATTTAGCCCTTACCGAGGACATGACCTTTGATAGGAAATTATGGAGACTTAAGACCAGGGTAGCCGAGTAGTTGTGGGTCACAGCCATAGGGTGTAACATCTCTGTCTTCTTTTTAATGCCTCTGTAGTAATTTCCATGACTTCTACTTTTTATTCGTTTTTGTCATTGGAATATATGAAGGATTAGAATTAGGGTAGCGGAGTAGTGTTGCTTTAGTCTAGGTTTTAACACATTTGACTTTATTACTTCTCATAACTTGATATCGATGACTTCTGTGTATCATTCTCTTCATGTTTTCTCTTTCTAAATTTAGCCGGGAATTACGTTACTGTCTATATGTAGAGATTTTTACATAGGGACTTATTTGCAGGGATTACTTTCCATTTCAGATGCACGTATGAAAACTGCATATGATGATTGTTCAACTATGTATTTATTAATTAATTAATTTATACATGCATTGATTTTTATCTTTATTTTTTAAATTTTTTGACTGTCGAAGGTCTTTTACGGAAGTTGTTCTCAACTGGGCGTTGGAGGCAACCTATTACCCTATCTCCCTTATCCCATTATATATGGAATAGGTTTTGTTGTTGTTGTAGTACACCAAAACACCTTAATCTAAAACAATATGGTGAGCACAGTTTCGAAAACACCCAATTCTCCCTTTTCAGATCGATAATGAATCGCGATGAAACACGTCCCCTAACCCACATGTTGCTATTGGGTCTCAACCATTCCTTCTTTTCTAAAAACTAAAACCGCTCCTTTTTCAGATCGATAATGAATCGTGATGAAACACCTCCCCTAACCCACATATTGCTGTTGGATCTCTTTAACCATTCTGTTTCACCCCAAAACTAAGTCTACT